TAAGCTTCCTCCCTGCCTCTCCTCCCTATTTTTTTTCTTTCCTCCCTTCCTCCATTCTCCCATACCTTCTTTCCTCCTTGCCTTTCCTTTCATCCTTGCCTTCTTTTCCTCCCTCCCTGTCTCCCTTCCCTCCATGTCCCTTCTCTCCCTCACCTTCCTCCCTTCTCTAACCGTCCTCACCTCCCTTCCCTCCATCACCTCCCTTCCTGCCCTAACCTCCTTCCCCTCCCTTTCCGTCCTCCCTTCCCTAACCCAATTCCCCTCCTTTAACTTCCTCCCCTCCCTAACTTCCCCCTCCCTAATTTTACCCCTCCCTCAGCTTCATCCCCTCCCTAACCTTCCTCTCTAACTCTTCTCCCAGCTTTTCTCCCTACCTTCCCTCCCTGCCTCCCTACCTTCCCTCCCTGCCTCCCTCCCTTCCCTCCCTGCCTCAGCCTCCCAACACAGCTTCTTCTAACGGTGAGTGAAGAGTGTGTCGTTGCGGAGTCTCCAGCTGGGTACAGTCAGACCAGCTGGGATGGTTGGTGGTCACCTCGTTACTCTTCAGGGAGAGGTTGGTGTTAGTGGCGCGTAGGTGCAGGCATTATGGCGCGTCGTCCTGAGGTTGGTGTTAGTGGTGAGTAGGTGCAGGCATTATGGCGCGTCGTCCTGAGGTTGGTGTTAGGTGAGTAGGTGGTGTATTATGGGCGCGTCGTCCTGAGGTTGCTGTTAGTGGTGAGTAGGTGCAGGCATTATGGCGCGTCGTCCTGAGGTTGGTGTTAGTGGGTGAGTAGGTGCAGGTATCATTATGGCGCGTCATCCCTGAGGTTGGTGTTTGTGGTGAGTAGGTGCAGGCATTATGGCGCGTCGTCCTGAGGTTGGCGTTAGTGGTGAGTAGGTGCAGGCATTATGGCGCGTCGTCCTGAGGTTGGTGTTATGGTGAGTAGGTGCAGGCATTATGGCGCGTCGTCCTGGAGGTTGGTGTTAGTGGCGCGTAGGTGCAGGCATTATGGCGTCTTCCTGAGGTTGGTGTTAGTGGCGCGTAGGTGCAGGCATTGTGGCGCGTCGTCCTGAGGTTGGTGTTAGTGGTGAGTAGGTGCAGGCATTATGAGTGGTGAGTAGGTGCAGGCATTATGGCGCGTCGTCTTGAGGTTCGTTTTAGTGGTGAGTAGGTGCAGGCATTATGGCGCGTCGTCTTGAGGTTCGTTTTAGTGGTGAGTAGGTGCAGGCATTATGGCGCGTCGTCCTAAAATTCGCGGAGGTTGAAATTGAAGTGGAATTTAACAAAACGTATAAGAATAAGAAGGAAGGAAAAGAAGGAAAAGGAGAAGGAAAAGAAGAGAATGAGTAGGAGAAGAAGAAAGGGAGAAGGAGAAGAAGAGAAGGAGAAAAAGAAAGGGAGAAAGGGAGAAGAGAAGGAGATGACCCCCACCACTTAATAATTTTCTCTGCATCAAGTTGTCACAGAAAATGGGGACCGTAAACATCATCTTTATTTTATTTGGTCAATTAAAACAACTTAGTGTGTGAGGTTGTGAACTTGTCGCCTTTTACAGAGAGTTGTTAGTAGACCTGGAAGTTGTGTTTAAATATTATGGGAAAAGAAAAAAAAAACGGATGAAATGAAATTATTGTTGACATCTTGGAGTAATGTGAAGAAGATCCTGGTGGTGAAGAGGAGGAGGGTGAAGAGGAGGAGGAGGGTGAAGAGGAGGAGGAGGGTGAAGAGGAGGAGGTGGAGGAGGGTGAAGAGGAGGAGGAGGGTGAAGAGGAGGAAAAAAAAGAGTAAATAAAAGAAGAAGAAGATCCTCCTCCTCTTCTCAGGGTGCCTGTGGCAGTGAGGACTCTCTCTTGTGTTTGGTGTTTACAGTATGAAGCGAAATAGAGGAAGAGGCACAAACTGAGAAGAGTAAGTGGTGAGGGGGAGGGTGGGGGTGTGGGAGGGGGTGAGGGGGAGGGCAGGGGTGAGGTGGGGTGGGAGGGGCAGGGGTGTGAGGTGGGTGAGGGGGGGGGTGTGAGGTGTGGTAGGGGAGGGTGGGGGGGTGGGGTGGGAGGGGAGGGCGGGGTGGAGGGTGAGGGGGGAGGGGTTTGAAAGGAAGAACGGGGTGTGGAGGGGTAGGGGTGAGGAAGCTGATGAATGAGGAAGGGGGGAGAGGAATGGGGGTATCATCTCCTCTCATAGATGGAGTACCAGCGGTGGATCAATAGGTAGTCTGCGATACTCCTCGAATCCCACCCAACCAACCACCCAAGTAATCCCACTAACCAACCACCCAAGTAATCCCAACCAACCAACCACCCAAGTAATCCCACCCAACCAACCAACCACCCAAGTAATCCCACCCAACCAACCACCCAAGTAATCCCACCCAACCAACCACCCAAGTAATCCCACCCAACCAACCAACCACCCAAGGAATCCCACCCAAGTAATCCCACCCAACCAACCACCCAAGTAATCCCACCCAACCAACCACCCAAGTAATCCCACCCACCTACCCACCTAGGTAATCCCACTCACCCACGCAGGTAATCGGCAGGTAAACAAACCACAATCCACGGGGGCGACTCCCTCACACCTGCACGCTTGCCACCTCAGTTTTACCTAGTCTTGATAACTCACTTACCTGATATTTTTAACATGGTTACCCGATATTAATCAGCGTTACCTTATGTTATAATTACCTCGTATTAATTACGTGTTTACCTGTTATTAATAAGAGTTACCTTGTGTTAATTACATGTTTCACCCGATTTTAATTAGTACTACCAGTTGTTAATTACTTAGTTACCTGTTGTTAGTTACGCGAAAAGGCAAGGTAAGATTCCCATAATAATATAATTAACCCTCATTACGTGTATGATTAAGCCGTAAATTATTCTTCTTCTTCTCGTTGTGTAAACTCTCCGGAGATGAGAGAGTTACAGGTTTGTCGTCTCCAGGTGTTAGGGCAATATTTATGGCTCTTCCCCTTTAACGCCAAGTGTCAACACGGCAGCGCTCACCACCAGGGGGGGAGAGTTAAAGGTGTGCTGGGGATGTTGTCAGCACCATGCGCACCACTAACACCTGTCTACCACACTCACGCACCCCTAACACCTGTCTACCACACTCACGCACCACTAACACCTCTTCTGCCACACTCACGCACCGCTAACACCTCTTCTGCCACACTCACGCACCATTAACACCTGTTTGCCACACCCACGTACCGCTAACACCTGTTTGCCACACGCTAATGAACCTCAAATAAACTCCAGGTAATAATGAACGCCATAACTCCAGGTATAATTGAATGCCAAATTAACTCCAGGTATAATTGAACGCCTTATCTCCAGGTAATATTGATAGCCATAACTCCAGGTATTAATGAACGCCATAACTCCAGGTATAATTGAACGCCAAATTAACTCCAGGTATAATTGAACGCCATAACTCCAGGTAATATTGATAGCCATAACTCCAGGTATTAATGAACGCCATAACTCCAGATAAAATTGAAAGACAATAAACTCCAGGTATTAATTGAACGCCAATAAACCCCAGGTATTAATTGAACGCCAAATAAACTTCAGGCATTAATTGAACGCTATTAAACTCCAGGTATTTATTGATTGCCATAACTCCAGGTATTAATTGAACGCCATAACTCCAGGTTTTAATGAACGCCTTAACTCCAGGTGTTAATTGAACGCCAAATAAACTCCAGGTATTAATTGAACGCCATAACTACAGGTATTAATGAACGTCATAACTCCAGGGATTAATTGATCGCCATAACTCCAGGTATTAATTGAACGCCATTAAAACTCCAGGTATTAATGAACACCTTTAGATGACAACGCTGGCCCTCAACACACTCCACAAGGGAAACATTGACCTGTGATTCAAGGTGTGGCGAGACGGAATGTTCTGAGCCTTTAGTAAGTTATTAGTGATAGACTCGTGGGTTTTAAGAGACTATGGTTTTGACCGTCGAGGTAATTTGGCCTCGTTAACGACCCCGTGGAAGGAAATTGGCCGATTTGGAGTGACGCATAAAATGGAATGTTTGAGTTTTATGGGTAACTTATGGGGACATACTTGGGAGGGGGTTGGGTGTGGGTTGGGAGGGGGTTTACGGAGAGGAGGTGGTGTGTAAATGACTGCTCTCTCTCTCTCTCTTATAATTCCCTAACACCCCCCCCCCACCCCACCCGACCTTCATCTCCGTTCCTGGTTTTTGCGGGTCTTGGTCGGGTCGGTCCCTACCTCCCTCCCCTCCCTCGTCGGATAGATAAATAATATTCGGGTATAGATACGGGTGTCGGGTAGCATGAGACAGCAGGTACTAATTTGGTCTAGTAAGGTGAGTCGGGTACATATAAATCTTTGGTCGGGTAGGATGAGTCGGGTACATAAATCTTTGGTCGGGTAGGATGAGTCGGGTACATACATCTTTGGTCGGGTAGGATGAGTCGGGTACATACATCTTTGGTCGGGTAGGATGAGTCGGGTACATCCACCGAATTAAGACGAATGAGAACATTTATAAATACCACCTACCTTAATAGTCTCTCCCCCCCCCCCCTCAACAGGTGTTAAGTGGATGTAATTAGTTAAGGTAGAGTCCGTTGTGGCCAGGTAGGTGATGCCCGGATTCCTGAAGTGGTAATGGTGACGTCATCATGTGGAGCTTTAACTCACTCCTGTAATATTTATCAAGTGTTTACGTCACTGCCCTTCCCTCCCTGGTGACACGTGCGAGGAGGAGACTTAACCCCGTGTACTGAGTTACGTGGTTTGGGGTTTTATTTTTAACGTTATAGTAAATTTATTCTCATCCGCAGTTAGTGTAACGTGGTGGATAAGTACGAAGAGTTATGTTACTGGGGTAAACTGATGTATTTTTTTTCCTGGGTAATGTAATTTTTTTTTTCCTTTTTTTTCTATTATTGTTTTCTTAATGACGTTATGACTCGTGTTTGCACCGTTCGTAAAATATTTGTCGTCTGTTTCCGTTATCTTACTAAAATCGCAGGTTGGTCGTAGGTCTGGCAGCTTGGGTTTGGCACCGGCAGCAGTACGTCCCACCCGGCGAGGCAAGCGGCAACGAGAACCCGCCGAGTATGACATGTGAGTTTGTGTGTCCAAGGTGGTCGCGGGAGACAAGGTGCGCGCGGGTGATTCCCTAGGTATCCGCGCCAGAGTTTTACCTGTTTATTAGGCTGTTATTATTACTTGTTACTCCGCGGCGGGTGAAACGGGTCGACGGAAGAGAGAGAGAGAGAGAGAAAGAAAAATATTGAAAGTGGATCTGGGTAAACGAGAATGATTATTAGTGGTGGTGTTCTAGAGGGTATTGGTATTATATGTTGCTTATTATTTATTGTACTCCAGCCGTCATGTATAGACAACTACCCGGGAGCGGTGGCTTAACTGACACTAGACCTAATGCAGGAGCTGTCAGGATGGCGAGGGAGGAGATGAGAGGTGACACATGGTTGTTCTTTCACCAGACAATTAAAGTAGATGATCCACCGCCGCCCCTGGTAAGTGGGTGGTGGTAGTGGGGCTGGCTAACACGCCCTCCCTCCCCCGTTCACTACCTGACACCATGTTCCCTTCTGCGGCGTCCTATCTTGATGCTGTCTCTTCACGCTCCCTGCTACTGACGGCGCTGCGACGATAGACAGCTGCTGCAGATCTGCGACTACAACAACCGCTCCTCCCCAAGCGTAAACAGGTCTCTACATGTGGAGTTGAACCTCACACCGAGTATATGTGTGTGTGTGTGTATGTGTGTATTTGGGGCAGAGGAGCGGCTTGTTTGTCGCTCAAGACCAGGTAGGTTCCCCAGGGAGGGCCAGGAACCGGTCCTCTGGGAATATCGATATTAATTGGTTATCTCGGGTGATACTTATTAACTCTTCAACCTGTGTTTACCTGTGGTACTACCTCCTCGACACAACACACGTGACCTGAGGTTTGTTGCCACCATAACGACTCGTGGCTGAGAGATGACGACCCTCGGAGGTGAAAGTGGGCAGTCTGTGTTGTGCTAGGAGTGTGTGTGTCAGGTTACCGATAAAGACACTGACATTCACACAACCTTTAGGATTTATTTCAGCGAGGTGAATGTGGTGCGCAGTTAGTGTTGTGAGGTTAACGGTGTTATTAGCGGGTAGCAGAAAGCAAATTTACAGTCGGGTATGAGCGGGTACAAGGAGACAGGCGAATATCAGAGGTATACCCGTATGTCGTGGGTATAGGCGGTTATTAAGGGTAAAAGCGGGTATCGGGCACTTAAGCGGGTATCAGAAGTGTTTGAGGGTAGGAATTGGTTGTCAATGGCATAGGTGGTTTTCGGGGGGGTAAAGCGGGTAAGCGGGCAGCATAGGACTCAAGCACAGGGGGGCACACTCAGGCCAGCAGCTGCGTTATTGATCTACACTGAGGCAGTATTAACCCGGCCCTCAGACCTATTTACCCTGTGACTGTGACCCCTGCCAACACCCCTGCCAACAGTCATACCGCAAACTACCCCTGCTATCACTCATACCACAACTACCCCTGCCAACACTCACACTACACCTACCCCCAACACTCATACCACACCTACCCCTGCCAACACTCACACCACACCTACCCCTGCCAACACTCCAACACTCATACCACACCTACCCCTGCCAACACTCACACCACACTTACCCCTGCCAACACTCCAACACTCATACCACACCTACCCCTGCCAACACTCACACCACACCTACCCCTGCCAACACTCCTAGGCTTACCCCTGCCACCACTCACATAACAAACATACTAAGTCATCTAAACACTGAATGAGGAGTAATGGCCCCTTATATTAGGAGTCTCTTTACTCTCTTGATGAACACAAATTTCGACTCTTCCTTGATAATATAAAATTGGTTCTCTAAATATCTGTCGTTCCTATTAATAATCCCAATTTAATATTCAGTATACTCTAATACCATAACCTTAACAGTATAGACGCAGTATTTTGGCGATTTATAGATAGAAATTATTTTGTTATATGTTATGTTGAGTGAAATATTCCTCCTGTCTCAGATAATCGAATTTTCCCGGATTTATTTTTTAATTTTTTCATGTTCTACCATTGTTTTATTTATTTATTTATTTATTTTTATTTTTTGGTCCTAACATTAAAACAAAGCGGCGGTGTGTAGGTCATCTTTGTGTGGTAGACAGGTGGAGGTCTTCTCGTGTTCCACTTGTAAATATGTGATGTAAAAAAGGTCTGTTCTCGTGTTCCGCTTGTAAATCTTGTAAATATGTGACGTAAAAAGTCTGTATTCTATTATAGATTGTGAAATACTGAGGTCATTATTAACCTTGGCAGATGACCTCCTCCCCTCCTAGTACTGTATTGTTCTTCTCCTCCTCCACTTCTTCTTCTTCCTCCTTCACTTCTTCTTCCTCCTTCTTCTCTTCCCCCTCCTCTTCTTCTCTTCCCCCTCCTCTTCTTCTCTTCCCCCTCCTCTTCTTCCATCTCCTCTTCTCCTCCTCCTCCACTGCGGCAGGAATTTGCGTCTTGGCCACCAGTGTCGTGTGATGTGACCCCGTTTTATTTTGGTCTCATATTCACAGCGAAACTTAAGACATCTTGGGATTTAAAACCCAAGATGATGCCGTGATTTCTGGTGCAGGTGTTTACTGGTGCAGGTGTTTACTGGTGCAGGTGTTTACTGGCGCTGGTGTTTACTGGTGCAGGTGTTTGTGATCTGAACAAGATATTATTGTTTTTTTACTGGATTTTATTTATATTTTTGTTTACATAAGATGAATTTATATATTACGTTTGATATTTCTGATTCGTAAATAAATGTTATATTCGTAAAAAAAAATCAGATATTTTTTTTGTTTTATGGGAAATAGAAGACAAATAACACGGTAATTATGTCTCTTGTGTTGATGTTTTCAGTTAACTGTTTTACTTAAGTGGAATTTTCAGTTTTGTAATAATCATAGATATTTACGATTTTATTAGAAGTATTTTTTTTTACAATTAAACCTCAACATGACTATATGAATTTGTCTCATTAAATAACGTTAAAAAAACTAAACGAAAAATTCTATCATATCTAAAAAAACACGATTATTTTTTCCATATAATAAGTAATGATGAGGTTATTTTCCCATACACCTTGACGTTTATTATAAGAATCAAGTCAATTTTTTTTATTCATATAAATAACTTACGATTTTTATATCTTTAAGGTAACGTAGATAAGGTAATTTTTTTTAATGTGGTGGTGAGGAGAGAGACGAAGATTACCTCCTTGTTGACGTCAAGGTTGTGGTCTGGTGTCTCACTTCTGAAAAATCTTAATATATTGTAAGGTGGCCTCAGTCTGATGTGTTAGTTGTTCGTTAATAGTCAGTGTAGTTGATTGTGGTTGATTGTAGTTGATTGTGGTAGATTGTGGCTGGTTATAGATTATTTTAGCTCATTATTATTGACTGTATCTGTTTATAGTTGGTCATAGTTGTTTATATTTGATTATGGTTGATTATGGTTGATTTTGGTTGATTGTAGTTGATTGTAGATGATTATAGTTGATTATAGATTAGTTTATTATCGTTTATAGTTGATTATGGTTGATTATGGTTGTTTATATTTAATTATGGTTGATTGTAGTTGATTATACTTGTTTACAATGTTTATGGTTGCTTATAGTTTATTGTGGTTGTTTAAAGTTTAATATAGTTGATTATTGTTTATTACCGTTGTTTGTAATTTTATTGTTGATTATGGTTGTTTATAGTTGATTATAAAGCTGATTATAGTTGTTTGTAGTTTATTATGGTTGATTATAGCATTTGTAGTTGATTGCCGCTTTCGATGCTGATTGATTAATTATAGTTGATTGTAAATGATTGTAGTTGATTATTGTTGATTATATTTGTTTACAGTTGATTATAGTTAATTGGTGGTTGATTATGGTTGATTATAGCAAATAAAATCAATTCATAAAAGGACGAAAGACCCCTAGCGTTATTACATTATCTACGCCTCGGGTGTCATGATTACTTGTAGTCGCTCGCGAATAAGTCTTCCATTGTGTCATGACCTGGGTGTAGTGTGTCGCTACCGAGGTAGTGTGTCATGAATAGTTCCATTGTGTCATGACTGGTGTGGTGTGTCATGACCGAGTGTGTCATGACAGGGTGTAGTGTGTCATGAATAAGTTCCATTGTGTCATGACAGGGTGTAGTGTGTCATGAATAAGTTCCATTGTGTCATGACCGGGTGTAGTGTGTCATGAATAAGTTCCATTGTGTCATGACAGGGTGTAGTGTGTCATGACCGAGTGTAGTGTGTCATGAATAAGTTCCGTTGTGTCATGACAGGGTGTAGTGTGTCATGAATAAGTTCCATTGTGTCATGACAGGGTGTAGTGTGTCATAAAAAATATATATTGTAAGTTTCCATTATCTCATGAGCGTATTACAGTGTTTATATAGTTCTTATAGTGTCATGGCTAAAGTCACTGTCAAGGGTATAGTTTCCAATTTGTCATGAGCATACCCCCAGTGTCATGAGTACACGCCCTTCCCATTTCTGCTATTTTATGACCAATTTTTCAGTGTCATTACAAAGTATACAAGTGTTCGTGACAGTTCTATAATGTCAGCAATAAATTTGAATTCCACGGGTAATTTTGTTCTAAGTCATAAAGAAAATAGTCTCGTCTGAGGTCTGTTTCCTCCTCTTCTCCACCAATTACCAATTTCTCGGTCACTTTTACGCTGTCATGACCACGCGCCAGTGTATAACGTGATGTTAAGTCGTGAAATTGATTTGTTTGGCCAATTTTTATGATACACTGACAATTTCTATGAGTTTATAATCCTTTGTTTCTGTAATCTTTAACCTATTTCAGTGCGTTGTGGCCAATTTACACTCACGGCAAAACACCAGCGTTTAGTGATAATTTTTGTTGGTGTTCTTATATTGGTTTGAATAGTTATTAGTCATTATCTATTTCATAATAAATTTTCTGTGATTTATGACCAATTTACACTACCTCCCTGAAATGTCTTCACTGCCATTAACTAATCTATTACATAAAACCAATTTTTATAATGTCCTGA